AAAAAAAAAAAGCTTAAAACTACTCCCTATTTAGATGATGTGAACATAAATTCCAAAAGGTTAGAAAAATGGGAATTGCTTCAAAACTTTTAATGAGTTTAGGACAAATAAAAAGAATTCCATCTTCAGTTAGCAAATAACTTGCTAATTAAGTAGTATAAACAAAAATTTCCAAAGGACTTATCAATATTTGTGAAAGGCAGAGTCATAGTATATGATTGCTAAGAGAAGCTGAGATATTCCCAGCTCTCTGATTAAGTCATGGAGGATAATGTTGCCTTCTTCCATGATCCTTGGCACCCCCTACTGATGAGGACTCTGGCCTAAATAGGCCATTGTCTCTAACAAAGAATAACAAGTCACATCTTACAAAAGATGTTAGATGTTGCTGGAAGCAACATTTAATTGTTTTATTTTATCTGATAGTTTCTTTGTGTTGAGATTTGAATCCTCACTTGAATCTGATTTGAATTTTAACTAATATCACAGAAGAGTTGACAAAAAATAATCCAAGATCTCAGCCACGTTGAGGCAGATGCATTTTCTCTTTATCTTCTCCTAGATTTTAATTGTGGAAGCCTCTCCAAAGTACCTGGAGTGCCTTTTTTTCAAGGCCCCATATGTTGGGAAAAGCCTGAGAGACCCCTAAGCATATCAAGTTCGAGTACATCAGCAAACTTGTCATCAGCTAATTAAGTCTCTTGAAACTGAAACTTGTGCATACTCTTTTTTAAAAACTTCTAAATCAAAATCTCTTTCTCACATATAATGATTTCCTTTCTACATGGAGATTTAATGTTCTCCATCAGGCTGTTCAGACTTTGATTTCAATCAAGGTGCTTAAAGGTGCTTAAATCTTTAAAGTGTGTATATGAAAACACTCTCCTAGAATTCTTACAGATTTTAGAAAGTTAACTAAAAATGCTGAGTTTGCATTTCTTTGCCAGGTAAAATATTGAAATAGCATTCTTAAGCAGGATCTTCCTAGTGCTAGAGACAAGAAAACAGCATATGTGCCGCATGTTTGCACAGCAAGTACAAGATGTCCTACTCGAATTTGCAAATGTGTGCTTTGTGTTCTGTGCTGTGTCATTATTGAGGGACTTCTGAAAATAAAAGTATATTCTCAGTACTTTTAGATTGTGGTTTGAACAAAAGTGTCAGATTTGGGCTGTTTTTCTGCAGATATTTTTGTTTTTTAAATCATCCTGTTGATGAAACTTCATTTAAACTTCATTTAATTTTTTAATGAATATTCAAATATTTATGACTTTTACACATTAAATAAGAAATGTCCTAGCTGTTTTCAATTTTAGAGCTGATGTAGTTTCTCTATGTGTGTATTTTCCATTATAAAGTGATAAATATAGCTAATAATTCGACTACTGCTTCACGGGTTGATAGTTCCTCATGGAAACATGTACTGAAGACTAGCAAATTGAAAGAAAATTTTCTTCCTGTATTTCCTTCCCAACGAGTAGTGTAACACTGTATTTTGCACTGTCATAGATCTTGCAATGAAAGTTAATGAATTTAAAATCTATTATTCCAAAGATACACATTAAATTCTCTAGCAGGGCTATGAAATTGGATTTTAGATTCTATATTAAATTGTAGCACCACAGTTTCAATGAAGCATTTGAATTCAATATCATATGTCAGAGGGAATGTCAGGAAAACATCGAATGTACTCTCCTATTTTCTGCACTGCAATGACAACCTCTCTCGAGATTTTGCTGAGTGTTTGTGTGGTACGTACTATACATGTGAGCTTTCGCTAACAGAGACGCTGTTATTTGGTAACACGCTTCAATTTAAAATTAGTTCCTCCTTGGCCAGTGCAAGCCAGAATATTACTGAGGATAAAATTTCTATTAAATGCCTGTAGATTCAGATATGCCTGAATAATGAATTCTAGACTTGACATAGTTCAGTATTCTCTTCTTCAGCAAATATTTATTCAAAAATAGCCTTTGAGGTATATTTGGTGTCAAGTTGAAAAATCATTCCCCCACTAGATGGGAATGGCACTTTACGTGCACCCTCATAATCTTTCCCTGAAACCAGCAGAAAGATTAGGCCATCTTGTCTGTTGCCTCTATTGATAAGTGTCACACTCTCCAATGCTTTAGAGAACATCTTTATTTTTCTCTTTCCAGGGAACTTTTGGGATCATGTGGGACTGAACCGACTTGTTCTAGAAGGCTGTTTTAAAAATATTCCCTTTAATTTCAGAATGTTCGAAGATGAAGGTTAAATATTCTGTCATGGAATGATAGGGAATTTTATTTTCATGTCCCCCTTTGGCCATATAGTCATGTTTTAATCTCGAGCAAGAAAGAAAATTATCTTTCAATTATAAGATGCCTCATAAAGTGAAAAGGGAAAACCTTGAAGAGATTTTCACTATCTTAACTGAGCTAAAACAAATATATAAATGTAAAATAGTTAGAAATAAGTTCTATAGGTTAAAAAAAAACTGCAAAATCTTTAAAACTAAATATTACAAATACATGAATTTCTCCAAAAGTAATTTATAATTTAATGGTATTCTTATAAAGATTTGTGTGTGGATTTTTTTCCTGAAACGGGCATTTCTCAAAGTTATAAAAGATCTCTTAGGAGAAAAATGCCCAAAAAAGGTTTGAAACAAAAGAAGAATGGAGGACAGTCATGTAATGCCAGTATATCAGTATGTCAGATCACAGCAGTATTGTAAAGCTAAAAAAAAAAAAAAGAAGAAGAATGTGGTTTAAAAACAGCATTGATTAGGTTGTATCTCTTGGAAATGGATTAATTTTGTTCTCTATGTGAGAACTGTCCAAAAAGACACTGTGATAGAGACTGTTGGGCTCACCAAACAGCCATGTGATCCTTTCCATATCTCGTCTCTTTTTCAGGTGAGCCGAGGTCATGTAATCAGTTAAGGTCAATGAGATGTATCTAGAAATGATGTAAGCTGCTTCCATACCTTGTTCTTTTAAACATCCCGCAATATCTAACAACTTTCTCTCCTTGTCCCTTGTGAATGTGAAGGGCACATGTTTCAGATGATGGCTGTAATTGCCAGCATCCTGGATCTCTGCGTCACTTCTTAGAAGAGTGTACCTTCGACAAGCTGCCTAACCAACATCAGCATGTGACAAAAGCAAAAAATAGATATCTTTATTTTGCATTAAAAAGAACACCTGATAGGCAGATAAAAATGATAGATCTATATGTTCCTGCCGCAGACAACAAATTTTCATCTTACTTAACTTTACAAATTAAAAATTAATTGTAATTTAATTTTTAAATGTTCGGTAAAAAGCTGCGATGTATTTTTAAATACATGACGTTAGTTACACTCTCACATTTGGGGGAAAATGCTCCAAACAAAAAAATATTAAAAATAATTCTCAAGAAGAATAAAGCTACATGATTGACATCCTTTGCTCTCCTTTACTAGGTTTTCCAGGGCAATTTTGACAATGACACTCACCGAAAAAACGTCATCGACCCTCCCATCTATGCACGGTACATAAGAATTCTTCCTTGGTCCTGGTATGGAAGGATTACACTGAGGTCTGAGCTTCTGGGCTGCACAGAAGAGGAGTGAGGACACCCCACATCCCACAACCTTCCTCTCTATTTTCCTTCTCTCTATCTCTATGGAATGAACTGTGCAAAATCTGTAGGAAACTGAATGGGGTTTTTCATGAAAAAGTGCTCAAATTATGGTAGGCCACTAATTGTCTCTTTAAGGGGGTCTAAGCCTGCCTTTTCAATGGTTTGATTTAATTTTTATCATTTAAATTTCTTAAGCAACATCACATTAACTGCTAATTACTTTTCTCATGGTTTTCTCAATTATTCACACTGGTTGAAACATATTAAGGAAAGTAAGAAAGTAGCACTCTTTTGATAGCAAGGGTAAAACAAAATCTCATAGTCATCAAATACAAGTGAGAGTTGACAGAGCTTTTATAATCAATATTCAACTAATTCTTATACAAGGAATACTGCAATGTTAGCAATAAGTTTTTTTTTTTTTCTGTAACGAGTCTACATTATCCTAATTGTTTCCCTGTGCCTACCAAACACTGTCAGTGTTTATAACAGAATTTTGAAGAATCTGTAACATGCAGTACTATTTGATATTGTAATTCTCATTTTACTTTTATTATTTCTAATCAGAGATTATGTGATCTTCTTTTCTCTTTATTCTATTTTATATTACTTATATTGTATATTGCTTGAATAAGTTCATATTTTTTCAATTGATTTTTTCCTATATTTGCCTAAAAGTAGTATCATGTTTGTTTATATATATGGAACATGATTAAAAATCAGTAGATTGATCATAATATCAGTAGATTGAATCTGTAATTATTTTTTGAAGGAAGCTATAACTATGTAATTTACAAATACTTCCTTTATAAAGAACCCATACTACCATTTTGCTAAATAAACATAACAAAATTGCATTATGCTTCTTTAAATGAAAATTTCAATCTTTGTTTTGATGGTATTTACATAGCCTTATCTTTGCTTTAACATAATAGAAAGATGAATTCTTTGTTTGTCTATTTAAAAATTTTTAACTAACAAATATCAACATAGAGCTGCATAGCTTGGCCAAGCATACTCATTATTTCTTTGTTCATCTCTGCATTTCCTGTGAAACTAGAATTTTCTTAGGATTTGAAACTGGTGGCGGTTTCCCAGGGAAGCACATTGTGTAGTTATTTATAAGAAGAAAAATATGTACTAATTACAAACTAGTAAATAATTTCAAGATGAAAATTGATTTTTATTTATTTTGCTTCAAAGGTCCTGATAAAATAAGCAATTATCATAACAATTTGTTATTGATAATGGAGGTTTCATTGACATGTTTCTCAAATTAAAGCTCACACTGCCTCCATAAAGTCCTCAACATCTAATTTGTAAGCTTTGCAATGATTTATTTTATAAGGCTTAGACACAGAATTAGTGGAGTTAAATTAAGAGTCCTGGAAAAGGAAGTATGCTATGTGGACGCAATGCTGAGGTCCTGTGCAACACTGCTAAGCTTTTTTCTTGTATTATTTGTGCTGCATAACAAAAGCCACTAGACTGTTACTGTCTTGTCTGTCTATGTGTTATTAGCATTTCTTAATGATGTATATATGGAATGGTCTTCAATTATAGTGAAGAATTTAAAGAGAAAGTCAATCATAATGGTAATTTTAACAAGAGCAAAATTAGGACTGGCTGGCCGCAAATTTGCCCTATGCCCACGTGCTTTTTACTTCAGGCTCTTAATATGAAATTATTGATTTAAAGTATCTGAAATGGTGATCAGTTTCCAACATCTTTCAAAAACAAAATTGCCATGTCCTCAATATTGCCTTTTTTAGATAACTTTAAAATTAGGAATTTAAATAGCAAATTTTTTAATTTGCTAAATTTTAAGGTAATGTTACAAATAATTGCTTAGGTCCAAAAATATACACACACTTACTGTCTAGCCAGTAGCCCCTATTTCTTTAAAGATTGATGTCCTACTAAATTTCTAGCCATTTTCTTTGTAAATAACATATAATTCTTCATTCTTAATAGAGTACGTTTTTTAAATTTTGAGTAATTTGTAATGATTTACTTTTTTGAAATTATTCATGGCTTCTTATGATGCTTTGAATTGTATTCTATTGATAGTTTTTTAAACAAATATTTTAAAAAGGAGTTTGTTAAAATTATATTTGTTACCTTTCAAAAATACATTGAAATGGATTTCTCATGCATACGCATTTTCTCTTTGCTCTAAATGCTCTTCACCATCATGACACGATGAACGGAATATCATTTTGTCCCATGGTGCCCAAAATTCATGACATTAAAGGGATAGCCACATGTGAAATGTTAATAATTATTTCAAAGTAGCATGTAGCTTTCGTGTCACTGGTATCAGCGACATTAAAGTTAAGCAAATTTATTCTATTTAAATTCTCACTACAACAAGTAAAATCTCATAAGCAGAACACAGAAGAATCACCTACTCTTCATCATATTGAGTAACTATGTTATAGTTAATTTTATAATCTATGAAACTAAAAATTTTAATATCTCCATTTTATCTATATCTTATTAAAAAATCATAGTCACTGATTCTTATTTTAGGGTTGACTTTCTCTTTCTGAAGACTTCATAAAGATAGGTGTGAATTTTGAAGACTTAGGATACTAATGATAGTATCTTTGCCAGTCAACAAATTATGAAATATTATACTGCTGACATCTGATGTGTCAGTGAGTATAGAAATAGCTAAAACACAAATAACCTTTGCAAATTTTCAAGCTGTGTAATATTCCAATGTTGGGTTTTTTTTCTTTGTATATATACTTAAATCATGTAGGATGTTGTAAAATCAGTATGACCTTGTCTAGTCTTCAAACAAAATAAAACTTTTGAAAATCCGGGTTACTTTTGAAGCAGTTGTAATTAAACACATTTGTAAGAATACACAAATTTTCTGAATGTGAATGCCCACTAATCTTTAACTAGTTGCTTGGTTTACTTTTTATTTTGTGTAGGACAGTTAAACAAATACAGAAAAAATTAGAAATTGCAATAGACTTCATATGTAGACTGATATAAGCAAAATTTCCTATCCGAAATCATTAAAATGTGTGCATTTCTCCTGCTCCTTTTAGTTGTGAAAATTTTATTGGACTACTAATAATTCAAAGTCATTTCTTTACTTCATAGATATTTAAAGTCTTGTGTTCCAAGACGGTTCTGCTCATTGTTAATCAATCAGATGCTAATTACTATTATTTCTTTTGTTTTTTAAATACATGATTCTCAGTAGTATAGTGAAGAGATCCAGTCAGTAGTAAGCAATAACACAAGCATTAACATGTATTTACCCATGTAGCTTCAGCTATTGCTTAAATAAAATCATAATACTTGGCTTTTTTATAAACCCTGTTTCTGCCTCTCTTAGAAGTTTCTGGTAAAAATATTAAGTCTGTATACTTCCCACTTTTTAGAAATTTCCATAGAATTCAAAAAAAGTAGGAAAAAAACTTAAGATATAAACTGCTGACTCCTTAGTTGAGCTTCAATGCATCTCTGACAGTTTAGTACTAGCTTATAATATGTATTTATGTATCCATACATGTTTCTTCTTAACTTTATTTTAATGTGAATGGTTCAGTAGGGTTCCAGGGCTTGCCTAATTTTTGCACACACACAAACATACAAATATGCTTTTACTAAATAAAGACCATCATAACTATATGTTTTCAATAAGACAAATATAGAATCATGACACATGTATACAAAGTAGATTCATTGTGATAGCAGAATAATTACTCAACAGAAAAATTTCACCTGTGAGGCTTTTAAAATTACTGATTCAAGATGTAAAAATAAGAGCAAAAGAAACGTTTAGAATTTCAAGAAGGAAAGTCTAACCATGTTGAAGAAATTTATTTTTTAAAACTCTATTAAAATAACTTCATGAATGGAAAATATTCTGTTTATATAACCTAAAAGTTTAAAAAACATCTAGCGCTTTGGCTTTGAATACATGACTTTAAGTAAAGATTTTGGTAAAGATACATTAATTTTTACTGTCAGAAATGAAATGCCCTCTATCTCTCTCCTCCCAAAGGCTAGTTTAAATAATCAAATTAGTGTGTTATTCATTTGTGAAAAATACTGCCACTAGGCCTTGGAGATGCAAAAGGATCCTTTTACCTGAGCTGGTTAATGGAGGATTACACTACATTGCTGCTTGAAAAAATATCTATTCTGGAACTATCCTGGAACAAAAAATATCTGAACTATACTTGTCACTTGTCTTTATGAAGAAGAATACCCAATGTGAGTATCATTTTTTCTATTGATTTTGAAAGGGGAAATAGTATTCCTTGGTTCTGTTGCAGTAAGTGGCTATAATTCATATTGGATGTTTTAACATTGCTGCTAAATAAAGCATTCTCCACAGTATGCAAGTGGCGCTTACACCAAGAGTTATTTCTATTAGATAAATTTGGTAGCAGAAATAGGAAAACATTTTTGGAAAAAGTACCTCAGTTGTTTTTGCATAGTTTGGCAGAAGTTGATTGAATCATTTGAAAACAGTAATGTGGAAATATGGTGTAGTGGCATCAGCAAATGGTCACCATATTACAGGATTAACATTGCATATGGTGACTGCCTCTGATTTAATTTTATTTTAACATCCTCAAAAGCATGAACCGCACTTTCATATTTATGTAAAATCCCCATAGTACCATTCATATGCCCACACATAAATATGTTAAAAATGATGATGAATTGCTACATAAGCTCAACCTGCTGCCACCTGGAAGAGAAGTGGTGGCAATAAGACATGGTGCATTCAAACAATACATCCCCCATGACCAAAATGGAAACAGCTTTGTGACAACTTATGTCAGCATCAGGCCAAAACGCTGAAGAAATTAACGGGAAGACAGCTGGGAGTAGACTGCATGCATGTGGCAGAGAAGGAATGTTTTCCGTGATAAGTGACTTAAATGACAAATTAAACATGGATTTACACACATTTTGTAATTGTTTCACTTCTTAGAATATAGCGACTTTGGTAGACATGATCAGTACGGCTCTTCTCAAGGCCAGTGCATTTTCCACCTAGAACCAGGAAAGAAGAATTGAACAAAGAGGTTTAAAATGGCATATCACAAAGGGAGCATTAAACAATCAACCTTAAGCCATTTAACTTCCTCAGTTCTCAAGTTTCTTAGGTAATAATGCTATGGAAAATGCTAATTTTTTTTTTCAACAGCAGAAGCATTCTGCTATGGTCTGAATGTTTGTCCCCACTCCCATTCATATGATGAAATCTTAAGCCCCCAAAGGTGATTGTATAGTAGGTGGGGTGCTTAGATCAGAGGGTGGAACCCTCACAAATATGATTAGTGCTCTTATGAAAGGAAACTCCAGAGAGATCTCTTGCCCTTCCACCAAGTGGGGACACACGCAGAAGGCACTAGCAATAAACTAGGAACTGGGCCCTCACCTGACTTGCTGGTACCTTGAAATCAGACTTCTCAATCTCCAGAAGAGTGAGAAATGTATTAATTTCTGTTGTTTAAAAGTTACCCAGTGTGTGGTGTTTTGTTACAGTAACCTGAATGGACTGAGACACATCTCTAAAAGGAATCTGTTTTTAGTTGAATAAGTAACTTTATAAGCTGCTTGGGTTGTAGACTGAGACTTTGAGACATGTTTAAACAATAATAAAATGTTTTTCAAACTGCCAGTGAAGAGAAATTGGTGGGTTAGGACTAGTATTTTTTTTTTTTTTAACTTAAATACACTAGGAGAAGAGTGGAGACAAGCAGAGGGAAGGAATGAGTTCATTGTAAAAATTCTTTCATAAGACATTATTATTTACATCACATTCTTATGTATACATGTATTCTTGATTA